ATCAAAGCAGCTAGCAAGATCGAAAAAACTAGTCTATCAAAGCAGCTAGCAAGATCGAAAAAACTAGTCTCTCAAAGCAGCTAGCAAGATCGAAAAAACTAGTTTATCAAAGCCAGCCAGCAAGATCGAAAAAAAATAGTCTATCAAAGCAGCTAGCAAGATCGAAAAAAATTAGTCTATCAAAGCCAGCTAGCAAGATCGAAAAAACTAGTCTATCAAGCCAGCTAGCAACAGCGAAAAAACTACGATTGCGTATGCATCCCTTGCCTGTCCACTCCTAAGACAGCTTTGTCATGTGACTGTCCAGTCATCGGTGCCTGCCTTTTTTAGCCTGCAGCCAATGCGGTGTCGGGGAAAACATTCTGTAAAGTCTGAGATCATGATCATCGGAAAGCTTGATCTGCATCCATGTCCTTGGAAAACCATTAAAAGTCAGAGCTTGGCCGCTTCAGCTGGATTTCCGCTTTGCGGATCCGCCTTTGCAATAAGCTTTCGCCGCCTTCGACTTCTTCAGGGCCTCGAAACTGAGCAGCAGGGCAGACTTCACACTCTCCATCTTCAGCGACTTCTTAGCCTTGCCCAACTCCGATGCCGCCTTTTGCAAGGCGTCACGGGCTCCATCGATCAACATCTTCTCAGTCGCATCCGTAGAGGAAAGGTCCTTGAAGTAGTCCATGTCTCGCGACATCGCGGTCTCGAAGCTGGCAATCTTCTGCTTGAACTCGGGCTTGCCATCGCTGTCACCCAGCTGCGAAGTCTTCTCCAAATCCTTCAGGTCGCCCGACTTGGAGGAGCTCGACTTGGATGTCTTGGATTTCGTATCCTTCTTGGCCTTCTTCAAGATCTTCAGCTTAAGCTTCTTCTTCTTCTTCTGGTCACTCTCGTCGTCCGAGCCCGAAGTCGACTGAGAGGTGGATGCCTGGGTGGAAGCAGCCTTGTTGATCTTCAGCATCACGATGTTCTTGACATCCTCGTCGACGTCCATGTCGTCCAGGGCCTCCCCTAGGTCCTCGTCCGGCATTTCCCAATCCTCGGGCTTGATATCCTCGAGGTTCAACTTCTCCATGTCTCGCACCAACTTCTTGTCAACCTTGCCGCCCTTTGTCGTGACTTCCGTCTTCCTCCTCTTGGTGTTCTCGTGCGAGAAGCTCTCCACGACATCCCGGTACTCGAGGAAGTTCCTCAATGGATTTCAGACTCGCACATCAGGGGTTAAGGGTTTAGGGAGTTTGGGGCTTAGAGATTTGTTCTAGTTGTGTCCCAATATATTTATAAAAAATATAATAACGATGCATGACCTGGTGGTGCATTAGGCAAACTGACTTGTTGGCTAACGAATACTTCAAGTCAAACTTCAACACTCACACACCGAACCCATGCAAACAAGTTTCTGGTCTGTCGGGGACCGCCGGAACCGCAGCGTGCCGTTTTTCAGCCGAGACAAAGCCTCTTTAATTTGCGGCCGCATCGGCCCGTGACCTGTTTCCACGACAACCACGTAACGTTCAGCTTGTGGCGATTCTCGATTTCGAAGCTCGCCACGGCTCTGCGGTAATGCTCGCCGATCGAGAAGCCGTCGCTCAACCATCCTCGCAAGAACTGGCGTTTTTTGGAACCTCTTCCGGGCCCGTTTGTCAGGGACTTGTACTGGGCATCGGCAGAGTTGGCTCGACGGTCCCGTTCGAACATCTTCCACAAGCTTTGTTGCTCCGAAGCGGGCAAAGCTTTGAATGCCTTGTGCAAGTCGTCGATTCCCCATCCTCTGCATTTCATGAGCTCGTCATGCTTCTTGATGTTCTTGAGCGTGAAGGGGTACTTGGTAACTGCCTTCTTCAGCTTCTCGCCGTCCGGATCCACACACTCATCTTCTTCGGCTTCCTCTTCTTCCGGTTGTTCACATGCTGCCTCTTTCTTTTCCATGGTCGCTGCCTCCTCCGGCTCGGTCTTGCCGCTGGGCTTCTTCATAACCATAACGGCTGCGGGCTTTCGCATCGGAGCCATGCCCGGCTCAAGGGTGTACTCGGGATTGCCTTCGGCCAAGCTGCCACGGGCACTAAAGTAGTTGCAGCAGTCATTCCTTGCATGGTTATGGCACAGACCCAAAACCCAAATGAAAAGGCGTGGCTTCCACGCAACACCACATGAACTATAGTGCAATGGAACCATCATGTGTCGTTTGGTCTTTTTCCACAGACAATCATATGACATCATATGTCCTTTGGTCTTTTGCCACAGAGAGTCACATGATGTCATGTGTCGTTTGCTCTTTTTCCACAGACAATCACATGACATCACGTGTCCGTTGTTGTTTGTCCACAGATAGTCACGTGATAGTTTGTGGCGTGTCATAAAATGTCATGTGAATCCTGGTTTGTGTCACATGACATTCTGTGATACTGAATATGTGTCACAACATGTCATGTGATATATTGGCTGACATGAAATGTCATGTGACATTTTTTTTTGTGTCACAGCATGTCACGTGATAATTTGCTGGCTGTCACAGATTGTCATGTGACTTTGTTTCCCTGTCATGTGACATGTTGTGATGCTCTGTAGTTTGTCATAGACAGTCACATGACATCATGTGGTTTCTCTTGGTTTTCCACAGACTATCACATGACATCATGTGTTTTCTCTTGGTTTTCCACAGACTATCACATGACATCATGTGTTTTCGCTTGGTTTTCCACAGACTATCACATGACATCATGTGTTGTCTCTTGGTTTTCCATAGACTATCACATGATATCATGTGTCGTGTGCTGTGTTGCCAACAGACAGCCATGTGACATTCAAACAAACCAGGCACCACTGTCTGTCCAGACACGATTGTCTCCAACTGTCTGTCCAGACATCACACATGCTACTGTCTGTCCAGACAATACTGACTTCTAGGGTTTAGGGTTTAGGGTTGACACTACAGCAAGCACACACTATCTTTTGCCTCGCTCGCCACATCTCACGTCGATGCAATGTAGTGCTTGATGCCGTGGAAATCACTCCAAGGATCCTTGCATGACATGTCATTCATGCGGAAATGGTTTTAGGGGGTGCGGTTGAGGGGGCTCTGGTTCTGGCATGGGCGAGGACCTTTACAAAAGCGAGCCTGTCGAACCTTTTACTGTTGCGGGAATGTCAGAGCCCCTAGGTGCACGGGCGAGGACCAATCGGACAATGCTGCATGCAGACATGAACAAGAATCAAGATACAGCAGCCACTGCATTGAACCCTTCTGGTTACATCCAAGCTTGCTCGTCCAGGCAAGATTCAACACTCGACTGCCTTGAACCCTTCTGTTTAGAAGCTTGTCTAGAGCCAAACATAGGCGTGTCTCCCCAGACATCAAACAAGGTGCTCTTTCGCCCAGCTGCGGGAGTTTCCAGATTTCCTGCATTGGGTAGGGCTCAGGCAAACTCCGGACTTCATGTCATGATTCATATGAACCTGGCCTGCCGGGGCCTGCTCTGTGCCAACAGCGGCTGGCGTCTGGAACCATATGTCCTGGGGAAACATGGATCGGGGCTGCTTGGGTATGTTCTGCTACATTTGCCTATCCAGGCATCACCAAGATACAACCGTTGACTGCACAACACAAAATGAAATCGCCGAGCAGCTGGTGCCCCAGCTGGCGGAGGAACGACTGCTGGTGCTGCAGTGCAGGGCAGGGTTCCACGAAACTCGAAACCTGCTGTCATGGTTTCGCAGCATTGGCCTGGCGTGGGCGTGGGATCCAGCGGCGGCGGTGGCGGCGGTGCACCCGGGCCCTGGGATTTGTTCAATCAAATTTGTCTGTCCAGACACGTACCACGATGCAACAAATGACTGCACTCTTCAGAAGCTTGACATTTTGGAATCAAATTTAACATGTCTTTCCAGACATCAAGGCATAATTTGAGAAGGAGCCTCAGGGGCATCAGATCTGCTTGCGTGGGGTCCATGCCATTGTCCAGATCTCTCCTGGCGAAACACTGTCCATAGATTGCTTCAAGGTAAATCACGTTTGCGTGGACGAGATACCTATATACTTGAGCTCCTGGGCCGATTCGTCCTGCCAGGACCAGTTCTTGTCATCCTGCAAGGTAAATCACGTTTGCGTGGACGAGATATACCTATGAGCTCCTCGCCCGTATTCTTCCAGGACCACTGATGCCAACTCCACCAGTCCTGGATAGGACAGCTGAATGTGTGCAACATTTACGATTCTGAATGGCATGAGTTGGCCTTGTTGTCATCACTCCAGCGGCCGTCCTGGAATCTAAACATGTGCCGTGACTTCTTCTGAGTGGCATGAGCTGGCCTTGTTGTCATCCGTCCAGCGACCGTCCTGGAATCTAAACATGTGCCGTGACTTCTTCTGAATGGCATGAGCTGGCCTCCTTGTCATCAATCCAGCGACCGTCCTGGAATCTATAAACATGTGCCGTGACTTCTTCTGAATGGCATGAGCTGGCCTGCTTGTCATCCGTCCGGCGACCATCCTGGAATCTAAACATGTGCCGTGACTTCTTGTGTGTATTCTCTGTATTCTTGTCTGTCCAGACATTCATTCATCCGACTGCGAGGCCAACTCACGTCTGCGTGCAAGCCCTGTCTGTCCAGGCCTGTCGGGCGTCGGAGCCACCAGTGCCACCAGATCCTTGCCCGGCCTGCAGGCAACAATCTATCACTATATGTGTCTGTCCAGACAAACTCTAAACCTTCCTGTCCAGGCCTCCTGCTGCTGTCCAACTCCCCCCTGCATGCAACAGTCACTGTCTGACACTGTCTTTCCAGACTAAACCCTGAACCCTAAACCCTAAAACCTCAACCCTAAACCGTAAACGGACCGTGCGTGCTGATAAGTCCGGGTTCAGGCCTGATCACCGCCACCTTGAGGGCCATCGGCGTGAAAATCTTGGGCCTCAGGGCCGGATGTTTGGATGCGGGGGTTTAGGCTGATTCGACACCCGGGGCCTCCAATCGCTTCACCAGGTAAGTGATCATCGCGGAGTACGTGTTGAAGGGGTTCTGGTCGTTCCTGAGTTTCAGAATTGATTGGATTATGATTATGATTATGATTATGATTATTATTATTATCATTCTTCTTCTTATTATTATTCTTGTTCTTCTTTTTATTCTTATTCTTATTCATATTCTTATTCTTATTCTTATTTCTATTGTTATTATTGTTGTTATTGTTATTTGTATTGTTATTGTTAGGGTTATTCTGCTATTGTTATTGTTATTGTTATTGTTCTTTCTTGCAACAAAAATTGCACCGAGCGGCTTGTACACCCGCATCAAAAAGCACCGGGAGGACTCTGAGGTGCCCGGTTTCATCTGGGACTCCTTGGCAGCCTGCTGCCGAACCAAGTCGATGAAGTCCCCGATCGGCACGTCGCACAAAGCGGACTGGTTCCAAACAGACCGCATGTTCCTTAGATCTGCACGGACACAGCACCTGTCTGTCCAGACACTAACCTTTAAACATATCCATTATCCGGACATTCAACCAAGCGACTCCCGCCACAGGCGGGACATCGTGCCCTCCTCCCGGGCCCCGCCCCCGGGCTGGGGCTTTCCCTTGCCGCCCTTCATCGCGAGCTCGGGCCAAAAGCCTGCTGCATCCAGACATCCACTCTAATCTCACATTGCCTGTCCAGGCATTGGCCGACAAATCAGAATGTCTGTCCAGACATTAGGGAGGGGAGATGCATCTTGCCTGTCCAGGCGTTGAAATCAGAATGTCTGTCCAGACATGGTGAGATGCATCTTGCCTGTCCAGGCATTGAAATTAAACCACTCGACAAGACAGTAGAACGGCGTGTGCATTTTACCTGCCTGTAACCGGAACCTGATCTCCAGTGTCTGTCCAAACAGTACTGCTTAAGTGCAAAACCCTGGGCAACATTTCTTTCTCACACCGTTCCCCACGGAGCACGAGATTTGGAACATGTTGAGATCTCGATCTGGACCATCGATCACTTCGAGTGCAGCTTGTCCCTGAGCTCCAGGACCTCAGCCAGCGACTTTCCCTTCTGCAGGTCTTTCATGAGCTTGGCGGCGTCCCGGCTGTTGCTTTCCAAGTCCTGGTGGCAGCTGATCTGGAAAAGTTGCCTCCCATTTCTGATTCTCACAGCCATCCGCCCTGTCTTCCTGTAGGGC